CTAGAAGATAGAGGTCATTACCAGAAGGGATCTTTTAAAAGGATAAATAATAATGTAGTGTATTGTGAAATGTTTTATTCACAAACATTAATAAAGCCTATGAAAAAGCTGGTCTATGGATCGCCCTACTTTTTTTTTTCTGGTAACTATAGATTAAATCTTACATTGTTGATTATTTCGTCAGGGTGTAAGAATCATGTGGCAAGGAGCCAACAACAGAGACAGCACAAGGAAGTCTGTCCTTAGGTCCCAAGTGTTTCTTTAAAGAAATACCTTCACAAGGTAAATAGGGAATATTGGTTCTGCTAGGACGCCTTGCAGGTCAGGACATGGCCTCCCCCTCCCTGTAGAAGCATTGGTCAATCAGATGCATTTTCTAGCTGTGAATAAGTTACTTCTATCAGTAAAGGTCACAGCACTTAGCAGAGCTGCAAAAGCTTTTAGAAAGAAGAAACTGAGCCCTACAAACACACAGCAAGCTGCCCAAGGCACCCAGCAAGGCAGAGCAAGGCACCCAGGTCTCCTGAGAGATGGGCTGGTGCACCAAGGGACAGGGACACCACTCGGCATCACTGCTTAAGGAAGATCCACACCCACCAAGCTTGCACCTTGCTCCTCAGCACGGCTGCTGTTTATTTAGCCGAGTTGTTTTCAACCGAGGGGTTAACGAGCACCTCAAGGTCACTCCCCAGGCTCCAGCTGAAAAGCTGGCACAAGCCAGCAGACAGGAACCCAGCCAAGGGATGCCACAAAGGAACCTCTGTGCGCGCAGCTTCGCAGGGATCTTCCCAGAGGACGGTTGTGGGGCTCAGAAATAAGAAGTTTGAAAGTCAGCGAGTTAGCTGGTTTACAGCAGACAAACCAGTCGCGAGCCTTTAACAGAAACATGGGTTTCTACCGTTAGCTACAGATTTATTGTCTCGCTCTGCCATCACTAGCAAAGTTTTGATTAGTGCTGGAGGGAAAAGGAGAATTTACAGTCCAAATTTCAGCAGCTGCCAGCATACTCATTCACATGAACTTTTGGGAACAACATTTCTTTGAAACTATTTTACAAAGGCTAAAGCAAATTGCTCACAGAAAGAAGGCGCTGCTGCAAGGAGACAGATGCTGTTCCTCATTTTCAGCGAGACTTTCATGTCATACCAAAATATTTGGCACAAAGCACCTGATTAAAGAAATGCCATCGCTGATGGCAGATGGTACTTCTCATCCCAATCTGTAGCAGCCTGCTAACGTTAGATGTAATCTGATTGCAAACACAGTGTGTGCATTTTTTCCAGATGAGCAAGCTTTACATAATTTTTCATTGCCCTTACTTTAGTTTGTTAACAAACATCATCGTTACGAGCAAACAGCCTGATTACAGTGTTAGCAAAGGGATCCCTTCTGCTCGCCCTTCCAACCTTCCAGCACCTGGAAATATCAGCAGAACAGCCCTTCTCCACCCTGTTGTGCCACCTGCTTCAAACACCTAGTTTTAAGCTACTCCTACTACCAAGAGCCCTGAAAGAACCTGACTTCAGGCTGTGGCACTAAATTACAGCAAGACTTTCCCTATGGAAGAAAACATTCCAGGCAGCAAGCTGCTCACCTTTACTTTAGGACAAAAGGGATTCAATCACACACTGATTTGCCACATACTTTTTCCCCAGTGGGAAGATCCTCCTCTAAATTTACTCCAGTGTAACTATGCAGTGAGCTATGAAAACAGGATTTTCTTCAAGGAAGTTGCACCTCTATAAAACTCATTGAACAAAGCTGTGCATTTGCCAAATAGTGGCTGCTCGAGTTATGAAAGAGATGAACAGAAAACAAGTGACTACGTGTCCGACTAGCTTCCTCTTCCTCTTCGCTGGCTGAGGGACAGAATCCAGTGGAGGCCAAAGACGACGGCTTCGCTAACTAAAATAGAGGCAGACTCGCTCAAGGCTGAGCCCGTGCTGACACAGGGCCTTAACGCTCAGTCAGGGCAGACATTTCAGAACTAGCCAGGTTTCCTAGAGCCATACCAAGGGGATTTGTAAAAACTACTCTATTAAAATCACTTTTTTCTACTAATTCTCAGTCCTTTGCCCCAGTAAAAGTTATAAAACCATGTAACAGGTTTGCTTTTAAACAGTGCTGTCATTCGCCACCGGGTTTGAATAGGCACCATTTGGATGCTCTGAGCTCTGTTTTTCAGAGAAGCAAGACAGGTTAGATTTCTTGTGCTTGTCAAACACACAGTGCCTAGCTTTGAACAAGCTTCCAAGGGCAAAACAAAGTATATTTTTCCTACTCTCTCAAGCACCAAAAACACGCAGGTGCAACTTGTTCCAGCTGCCCAGTAACTGAAGCTGAATTTCACTAGTCACACTATCTTGATTTCAACAGCCAGCCCTATACTCCTCCAACCATCTCCAGCCACCTGCAGGCATTCCCAAACACTCAGCACATGGTCTTGGCTCAGCTAAGTTACACAGCACTAGCAGCGAGGAGGCAGTGGAAGGCATGATCGTCACCAGCAACAGCAGAGATGGGTCTAGGTCCCAAATTCTGCATTTCCCCTGAGGGGCACCAGCGACATTCCCTGCCCTGTGAGACTTCGTGGACTCGGCAGTGTTCTGTTTATGGTTGGACTCGATTTTTAAAGTCTTTTCAGACCTAAATGATTCTCTAAATATAAGTCCATGTAAGGTGCTCACTGTACCACAGGTATACAAAGGGTCTGAAATTCCAGTCTACTGCAGACTTTTACTTCTAATTTCCTCCGATGGTCCGTATAACATAGGTGACTTCTGAAACCTCCACAGCAACTGGGCAGCAAAAATAAAGACAACAAGATAAACTTCATCTTTTTTATTCTGCAAAGCAATATGCACATCTTACAAACACAAAATTAATCTAGGAGAGAAATGTCATTTCCAAATCAGCTATTAACCATCATGCAACAAGACAAGTGAAATGTAAGAACAAAACAAAACAAGAAAGCCATCTTAACCCTACAATCACCTGCAGAGGGTTGAAAACCAAGGCTCAGATTTTCTATGTAATGCCAAAGAAAAATGCAAAAGAAAATGGCAGCTTTCTAAGAACAAGAAAACACGTACAAATAGAATCAAAACTGATTCAAGTCATAGTTAAAAGAAAAAGAAAACAAAAAAAGGAAAGATCAATATGATCTGAACTTCAATATTAAGTTTTTACTCTTCTGTTTGGCTGCATTTAACTTTTGTACATTGCACCTAGGAACAATCCGATATTCCTCAGTATTACAGCATTTCAACCTGATGGACACCCTTACCTCTCTGCTGCAATACAGGGGTGCAAAGGGATAAACTAAGGCCAGAAAAATACATCTTCAACATTTTCCCTTTTGCGTTTGTGGGTTGCAATCTTTGTATTTCTGGGTGCTTCAATACAGCGGGTGATAAACTGCAAAGCAGGCTCCTCTAATTACCAAACAGCAAAACCAGATCAAAAAGAAAAAAATCTGTTTTCCCCAACAGACCAAATTCCAGTTACAACGTCTGGAGTTTGATTTTTTAATTTGCTGAAACAGAAAGGACTCGGCTTTGCTTTTTCAAGAGAGTCATGTTGTGTTAGGTGTTTTCTAGGTATTTCCAGAATTTGCAACATCACCCCAGTCCACTTCCTATTCCTGCCTTTGGTCCCCAGTTCAAGCCACCCTCGTAGGCAACTCTAGAAGTCACTATTAATGCGAGAGGCTGGGTATGCGTGAATTAGGAACAGCTCGGACAGTTTTCATGAGAAGCTGTCCCCCTGTTTTGACTTCACCTATTCATTGCAGCGAAGCAGGATCAGCCCATAGCAGCATCAGGAGAAAACTGGAAGCTTCACTGTATCCCTAGACTTCAAACTAGGCCATCTCTAAAGCTTTGCCTTAACATTCCCGGAGGAAAATGCATGTTAGTTAACACCACTTAAGTAACTGAAATTCTGTAAAGGAAACATGTTTTGAAGAAAAGTGTGACTATTTTGCTTCAAACACTCTGAAGACTCGTGAACTTAGTGAAGTCCCAGACATAGAGGCCTACAGACCAGGAGGGTACCATTCAACAGCATCTCTAGGTGATAAATGGAGAATCTTATGCCAGCATAATTGAGAATGTGAGATTTTGACTTGGGTTTCTTCTTTTGTGTAGTTTTGAGTGAGGAGGAGGGGAAAAAAAGCTTGTGTGTATGCATGCAAAACTAGTTATACTACTTGCCAAGAAAGCTGAAAGACAAGATGAAAGGTCAGTTAAGGCAACCAGTGAGATCTTAAAAGCAGTGGTGGAAATGTCTGCAGGAAAGCCCTGACTCCTGACAGTTACGGAGGCTACTCGGGAAGAAGCCAGAAAGAAACAGCGAAAGCCAGAATGGGAAAGGGAGAAAAATGCACAGAATAAAACCTCTGATTTAAGAACAGACACAGAGAACAGTGTATTTTACTCTGTGGTTTCTTTGACCTTCGTCCACACAGCCCTAGTTCTCTCGTCGTCATTTTCCCCGGAGTGGACAGCATTAAATGGAAATTGGACAAAGCTAATAAAAGTCTCATTTTCAGCTGCCCTTCAGAGATGGATGGAGCATCCCCAAGTGAAGCTCTGTAACAGTCTATGGGGTTTCTTTTCCTTTCACTATTTGTGCTTGCCCAAGGCTGTGCGGGGCCCCAGCAGACTGCTAATACAATACATCTTCTTACTAAGTTTCACTGTCTAGGAAAAAAAAACTTTACAGAAAGCTGCTCTGCAGCAGACACGCACAATCCTGGTTTGAGGGCTGCGGACGGGAGGCCAAGTGGAAAGCTTTCCAGATAGTCTCTATGCTGACTGATTCTCTGGCATTCAGTAAGCAAAAAGAAATGCAGGAGAAAAAAA